TTTTTAACATGAAGGATTTTAGTTCTTGCTGGGTGACTAAATGCAAAATAGGTTACTGCCAAGGTCGAGCAGTCTTGTTTTCTCACAGTACTTTTTGAAGGTATTTTCAAATGAAACTGTATAGTCCGGGAACGTTGGCCCAACCACAACTGAAGTACTTGAAGTATATTCAGACATATCTCTAGCTCTAGAAATTGAATTTCATGCAAAAAATGCTTCTTTCCAGTCCTCGCAGAATGGCAGAATGAAAGGATGACGCCTAAATCGTGCAAATAACCTAAAAAATCTCAAGATCGGAAACCATTCGGAGAAATAGAGTTCAAATTTATTTTCCAGAACGTTCAGAGTCAGAGAAATAGTCACTTCGTTTTTAAAATGCAAGCAGCTTTTTTGAGAGCCAACCTAGGCTAGAACCAGAGTACATTTTAGCCTTAGAACTACATAATTTACTACTATAGTCTCTTTTTAAGCTTGAATGATCATTGCCTTGCCTTCATGCCCAGTAATGAAAATGAAAAGCAACTTCCTTGCATGTTTACAAGCTCTGTAGGCCCTACACAATTTACACAAACCAAGCAGCTAAACCTGGATCTTAGTCACCCTTATTTTATTTTATTACTCCTGCAAGGCTCACACCTAAATGATCAAAACAAAGATAGGCCTCTAGATTATCTAGTAGGGCACAGTGCAGAAGAGACAAGAACCTCTAGATCAATAAACCCTGTAAATCATACACTGCCTCTTCACAGGGTGTGTGCCATAAAATAAAGCACAAAAACAGGCAGGAATCTATTCTATAAATCCGCAGGACTCACTGGCGCTGAGGTCAACAATAATATTACTGCTAACAACCTAACCATGGCTCATCATCGCTGGATCTGGGCCAGGTCAATAATACACACGCAAAGCAGGCCTCTGCTCAGCCTGGTCAGTCGGTGCGGTCAGATTCTCGATCGCTAGAGATCTATTAGAATCTACAAAAGTTGAAAATGTCCTATCTTAAACGAGATAGGGGAGAAAAAGAGCGGCCAAAATGCATCAAATGACGGTACACCGGTTGCGTTTGACTACATCAAGAGTCAGGGGCAGTGTTGACAAACAGAACATGATGATAATGAGACTGAGTCTTGAGAGTGAGAACTCCGGAATCCCAGGTTACACTCTTACACTACAACATTCTCATCATAATATCGTGAAGCTTCATATAAAGGGAAAATGACGACAGAAAGCTCAGTAAATCGTACTTACCCCATGAACCAGTCCATTGTATCTCTTAGATACTCGGGTATTTTATCCAGCTTGACAGCTTCAACCAGTCACGGTTCACAACAAACGTATCGCCCTCCAAAATTAGCAACTGGCATGCAAACAATAACAGGACAAAATGGCGACTCTTTATTGATGCGCATTCTCAATGCGCGTAGAATTCTCGATTCGCATTTATCGATATTTTTATCGTTACTGATTGAACCCTTTGCCAAAGTTTTGCCTAATTACGTTCGTTTTGCCTGACAAATAAGTAGATCTAGAACAACCTCCAAAAATACTAAAAGCCATTGGTGACTTAATGTTATGACCACATCAAAATCAGTTAGTGCGATGCTTGAAATTAGTGTGGGAGTGAGGAGAACTAGGTATTCTTCTCAGCAGCGATCGACCGGGAGATATTTTCTGTAGGCCTAGCCTAGGCTTCCTGTACCCAGTGGGTACGTGATAGGCTAAAAAAAATGTGTTTACACCTCACAGTCTACCTGCCTTAAATTTTTGCGGAACTATTTTTCCAACTGACGACTGCGTCTACATTAGAATACTCCCCACCTAAATTTAGATTACATTCAACCCAGCACAAGAAGCAGTTGGCTATGCCCAAGTCTATGACATCTCGTTTTCCTGGAAAGATTTCGTTTCAAATTCAGTTGGCAGTTCCTCAAAAATGATTCTGGTTCTAGTGGACTTGATTCATAGCAGAAGAAAAAATTGCAATATCACTTTTGGGGTGTCACAGACTCACAAACTAATTGATATATAATCAGTGTTTCGGATGTATGCGTGTGGAAGACAGCGTGAGCGTTCGGGGGGGGGTCAACGCAGGGGGAGCGAAGGTGAAAATTACAAATAAAACAATCTAGACCTATGTCGTCTAGATCTAGATCATAACTCTCATCTCATAATTATTGTAAGTTGTCTTTTATGAAGGGGAGGTGAGGGGGAGGGGGTTCCTTACTTTATAATTTCTCTGTGATTATACCGGTATTTGGCTGTTGTGTTGAGGATGGGCATAGGGAGGGGGCGGGGCGGACACCAAAAAAAATCAGTAAAATGAGTTTGAACAGGCTGGTATGGAAGAGGTGAAAAATGTCCTTGGACAGGACCCCGTTGTAGGTGGGTGGGAGGGGCTGATTTTCTTTTATTTTCGGAAACGGTGGGGGTGTCCAGGGGGTCGATAATCATTGGTGGAATGATGAATTATGCGCTGTTATTGGTAGCCTCCGTGGTCTAAGGTCAAAGGGACGTAACTCATCTTGACATCTATACTGTAAGCCTACCTCACGCCACTGGACGAAATAAGCGACAAGACCGAGAGTACTCGGGGATCTTGCTCGGTTTCTTGTTCGTTTTCTTAGAATTGTTACTCCCCACCAGACACGGAAAAGGACAAGCCTTGGTCAAAGATTGATTAACTTCCTTATGGGCCGCAATGCAGGAGTTTGTTGTTGTTGTTGTGGTGGTGGTGTTTTTTTC